TAGCAGACGGAAGAAAACATGTGAGGATTGATTATTTCTTTGACATATCTTCTTGTAGAGTAACTTCAGCATATATAGGTTTTAAACTACTAATTAAATTGCGCACACACATTAACATAATAGGAATACAGTTACATAACCAAAGCAGATCTATAATTACCAGCCATCTCCAGTGAAGCCAAGAAAACCAGTTAGGCACCCTAGGCATTTGTGAAACACCATTTCTTTTAAGAGTCCTAATACATATATGAACATGCTTCCTTTTTCTGCAGTATACATTTTATGTTATAGTTTGCTGGCTTCCTATGTAGTTAATCTACCAATATGTACATTTTAGCTGAAGAAATTAGGTGTGATGCCCCCAGAACAGCCACTACCAGTGAAATGCAATCGGATCTATCAGATAATGTGGGCCAATAACGGAGACTCCATCAGCAGGCAGTATGCTGGGACAGCAGCTCTGAAGGTAAATGCCTGTAGCAAGCATTAGTGGATCATTCTTTGGGACACAGAATGTGGTTTAAAACCAACTTTGCTTTTGAGAGAAAGGTATGTGGGCTACAGGTGGTAGGTTTATACAGTTGACTCCTTTCTGAAATGTTTGGCTAAGGTATGGGTCACATATTGAAATTGCTTCTGGGGCCAGGTAATGTGCCTCAATCAGGCCACTCATTAGATTAAAGGGAGAGATGGATATGTGTGGACCTACGTAAGAGCTTATGTTGTCTTGGGAGGGTGCTGTTCTGCTGCTTCCTTATGGGGATGAAGGCCCAGTGTTGCTAGATCGCTCAGTTTTTCAAGAGAATTTAGAAATCTGGAATTTTATGTGAACTACTTGGTTTAAAAAACTTTATATAAATGTTAATGGGATTTGGTTGCTAATTTGCCTCCTTTGAATGTGAATTCCAACCCTACTTCTTACTAGCTCTGTGACATTGGGCAAGTCACTTAACCTCTCTGTGTCCATCTCTTCATCTGTAAAACAAGATTAGTACAAGGCTCACTTCAAAAAAATTGTCATGTAATCATAGGAGTTAATGCACATGAGGGCTTAAACCATTGCCTGGCACATAGTAAATGGTAAAGAAATGCTTTATTATCTTTTTGTGGTTGTAGTAAATAGTCTTTTGAGGATCTTCTAGAACTAATCTTCACAGAATTTAAATGTAAAATATAGTCACTGTCACTAAATACTCCCTCTTTGGGCAATTGGACATGGTCTAATTAGTTTAAATTAGGTCTATGTTAATTTTACTTCAAGGTAATAGTTCATCTCAAGATATTTCTTAAAATAAATTGTACTGTTAAGGAAACTGAACTTTAGACGTCTGTGTATATAAATTATTGTTTAAGGAGAAATAACTTCTGCACTCACCATTGGAACACCTAAATATATAACACAGATACTAGCAGAACTAAAAGGAGAAATAAACCACAATACAGTAATAGGGGGGACTTTAATACGCCTTTTTTCAACAATGGATAGACCATGTAGGCAGAAAATCAGGAAACAGTGAACTTGAACAACACTATAGACCAAGTGGATCTAACAGACAGAAAGAACATTCCATCCAACAACAAAATACACATTCTTCAGAAGTGCAAATGAAACATTTTCCAGGATAGATCGTATGTTAGGCCACAAAACAAGTCTCAACAAGTTCAAGAAGATAGTAATTATATCTGGTATATTTTCTGACTGCAGTGGTATGAAACTAGAAATCAATAATAGGAGGAAAATTGGAAAATACACAAAGTGTGGAGGTGAAACAACACATTCTCGAACCACAAATGGATCAAAGAAGAAATCAAAAGGAAATGAAAAAATATTTTGAAACAAATGAAATGGAAGTACAATATACCAAAACTTATAAGACACAGCAAAAGCAATTCCTTTTTTTATTTTTATTAAAGTATTGATATATAATCTTATGATGGTTTCACATACACAAAACAGTGATTCAGCATTCACCCATATTATCAAGCCCTCACCCCCTCCATTGTGGTCACTGTCTATCAACATAGTAAGATGTTACAGTTATTAATTGTATTCTCTGCTGTAATACTGTCCCAGTGAACTATGTTGTGATTGTGAATTATAGTGCCCCTTAATCCCCTTCTCCCTCCCCACCCACCATCTCCAACCCTTCCCCTTTGGTAACCATTAGTCCCTTCTCAGTGTTTATGAGTCTGCAGCAAAAGCAATTCTAAGATGAAAGTTTATAGCTATAAATGCCTATATTAAGAAAAAAGAAAGATCTCAAACAACCTAACATTACAACTGAAGGAACTAGGAGAAAAAAAGGAAACTAAGCCCAAAGTTAACAGAAATAAGGAAATAATAAAGATTAGAGCGGAAATACATAAAATAAGAAAATAAGAAAACAATAGAAAGATCAGCAAAACTAAGTGTTGGTTTTTTGAAGAAATAAAATTGATAAACCTTTAGCTAGACTAAACAAGAAGAAAAGAGCACTCAAAATTATGAGACATTACAACCAATAGCACAGAAATACATAGGATCATAAGAGACTACTCTGAACAATTATATGCCCAACATATTGGACAATTTAGAAGAAATGGATAAATTCCGAGAAACATACAATCTACCAAGACCGAATCATGAAGAAATAGAACATCTAAGCAGACCAATGAATGAGTAAGGAGATTGAATCAGTAACAAAAACCTCTCAAGTAGAAAATTCCAGTACCAGATGGTTTCACTGGTGAATTTCACCAAACATTTAAAGAAGTAACATCAAATCCAAAAAATAAAAATAAAAAAAAAAGAGGAGGAGGGAACACTCCCAAATTCATTTTATGAGACCCAGTTCAGCATACACAAATCAATAAATGTGATATACCACATTGATGGAGTGAAAGATAAAGATCATATGATCATCTCAATAAATGCAGAAAAAATATTTGGCAAAATTCATCATCCTTTCGTGATAAAAACTCAAGAAACTGGGTATAGAAGGAACATGCCTCAACATAATAAAGTCTATGTATGACAGACCCCCAGCTAACATCATACTCAATGGTGAAAGGCTAAAAATTTTCCTCTAAGAACAGGAACAATACAAGGGTGCCTTTTCTCACCATCTTATTCATCATAGTGCCAGAAGTTCTAGTCAGAGCAATCAGGCAAGAAAAAGAAATTAAAATCATCCAAATTGGAAATTTGGAAAGGAAGAAGTAAAACTGTAGATGACATGATCTTTTATATATAGAAAATCCTAAAGACTCCACCAGAAAACTGCTAGAATATATGAATTCAGTAAAATTGCATCATGCAAAATCAACATACAAAAACCAGTTGTATTTCTCTATGCTAACAACAGCTTACATGAAAAATAAAATCCCACTTAAAATATCATCAAAAACAATAAAATTAGGAGTATTTTAATCAAGATGGTGAAAGATCTTCAAACTGAAAACTGTAAGACATTGGTGAAAGAAATTAAGATGAATAAATGGAAAGACAGCCTGTGTTCATGGATTGGGGAAATTAATATTGTTAAAATTATATTACCCAACACTGTAGATTCAGTGTAATCTCTGCCAAAATTCCAGTGGCATTTTTCACAGAAATAGATAAAACAATCCTAGAATTTGTATGGAACCACAAAATCCCTGATAGCCAAACAATCCTGAGAAAGAACAAAACTGGAAGCACCATGCTCCCTGATTTCAAAGTATATTACAAAGCTATAGTAATCAAAACAATCTGGTGCTGGCATAGAAACAGACATACAGACTGAAGGAATTAAACCAAGAGCCCAGAAATAAATTCGTATTTGACAAGGGAGTCAAGAATACCCAATTAGGGAAAGCATAGTCTCTTTAGTAAATGTTTTGGGAAAATTGGATATTCACGTGCAAAAGAATTAAGTTGAACTCTTATGTTACATGACTCACAAAATTAATTAAAATGGATTAATGACTTAAATATAAAACCTGAAACTTTATAGTTTTTTTTTATAAGAAAACATAGTGGAAAAGCTGTGACATTGCTCTTGGCAATGATTTTTTTTGGATATGACACCAAAAGGATAAGGCAGAAAAGTAAAAATAAACAAATGGGACTACATCAAATGAGAAAGCTCCTGCACAGCAAAAGAAACCAACAAAGTAGGCAACCTACAGATGGGAGAGAATATTGGCAAGCCGTGTATCTTGTAAGGGGTTAATATGTATACAACTCAATAGCAAAACAAACAAATAATGTGATCAAAAAGTGGGCAAAGGACTTGAAGACATTTTTCCAAAGGAAGAGACACAAATGGCCAACACACGAAAAGTTGCTCAACATCAGCAATCGTGAGAGACATGGAAAGCAAAACCATAATGAGCTATCACCTCATACCCATTAGAATGACTTATCAAAAAAGACGAGATAAAAGGTGTCGGCAAGGATGTGGAGAAAAGGGAACCCTTGCGCACTGTTGGTGGGAATGTAACTGGCATGGCCATTATGGAAACTGAAAATTCCTCAAGAGGTTAAAAATAGAAGTACCATATCATCCAGCAATCCCATTTATGGGTATATATCTGAAGGAAATCAGATGCATCCCCATGTTCACTGCAGCATTGTTCACAATAGCCAAGACATTGGAAACAACCTTAGTGTTCAGTGACAGATCAATGGCTAAAGAAAGTGTGTGTGTGTTGGAATATTATTCAGCTATAAAAAAAGGAAATCCTACCGTTTGCAAATACATGGGTGAAACCTTGAGGGCAAGTGAGATAAGCCACACAGAGAAAGATAAATATTGCATGATCTCACTTACATGTGGAATCTAAGGAAGTCATCTCATACAAACAGAAGGGATTGGTGGTTAATGGCAGGTGGAAGAAAATGGGGAGGTGTTGGTCAAAGAGTACAAACTTTAGTTAAAAGATGAAAAAGTTCTGACGATCTAATGCACATTATTGTGACTATAGTTAACAACAATGTATTATATACCTGAAATCTGCTAAGAGAGTAGACCTTACATGGGAACTGTGTGGTGATGTGAAGTGATTACATTAAGATTAACATAATACATGCATACATCGAATCATCCCACTGTATACCTTGAACTTACATAATGCTGCTCATCAATTATAACTCAATAAAGCTAGAAAAAATGCTTTTTCTCCTTTGATATTAAACTTGTTTGGACTCAGCATTCAGGTGTCTTGTGTAATAGATTCTTGTTGCAAAATTATATTTCCTGTGAGTGATTTAATAGTTGGCAAAATGTTCTTCCTAAATTACCAGTTTTAGGACAAGGCCTTTTTCTGAGATTGCCTTGGATTGAAATAGTGGGATTGGGATGGAGAAAAAAAAGACTATGTTTTCCTTGCCTTAAGTGTAAGTCACTGCCTCTCTAGGGACTTGCTTTGACACCTTTGTTGTGAAAAGCAAAGAAACAACTTAAATCTTCACTGGATCATTGTACGCTGAGTATAATGTGCAGTGAGGCACAGAAAGCTCTGCACTCTCTACACACATCCACATCCACAAGTTAAATCCTATAAATTATAATAAACTCTAGGAAATTGTCCATATTTTCACGTATCAGAAATTTGTGGGTTTTGAATATCATACCAGTTTGAGACTTGAAAATCTTTTTGGTGTTTGCTATATAAGTTGTGACCAATAAATTCTACAAATACTACAGATTGCCAAATAAAGCACCATCTAACTGTGAAGATGCCACAGACGGCAGGTTTAATTATTTGACATCCTTGGGTCAGCGTCAAATACTGGTAGATACTTTACATTATTTAGAAGTTATAAAAGCCTGTATAATTCCAGTATTGAAACGAAAGCCTACATTGACTTTGGAAACTTTATTGTGTTTGGATAAATTGTCAAAATGACTTTTCCCTTGACAGGGTGACTTTACAAGGACAGGAGAAAGGAAGTTAGCAGGAGTTATGAAAGATGGAGTTAACTCAGCAAATAGGTATTACCTGAATCGATTTAAGGATGCTTATAGGCAGGCTGTTATAGGTAAGAATCATAAATGTCTTTCTTTAAAGTGTGTTATTCCTTCTGTGACTAACATTTTATAGAAACCAATTTCATTAAGGGAGTTTGTGTTTTATAATATATTTGTGTTTCTGTATTGAGCATCTTACCCATTAAATCAAATTCAAAGTTTTCAAGATTAGAATTTGACAGATTTTTTAAGGCCAGAGCAACAAAAGAAACCACTCATTTCCATATGTTCGTCAGCTTACTATTCATGTAACAGAAGACAGGGTTGAAGCTTCTGAAGTATGGAATAAGGTAAAACCTCATCAACTAGAAGTCCCACATTCTATTTGTTTTTCCATTGCTCAGGACTGCAAGATGTTTAACAAGATGATTTTCTTTCCCCATATGACATTTTTCATAAGTTCTTGCTGTGTACAAACACATAATCCTTTCCTATAAGCATGAATTAACTTGATACAGGGTATCAGATTTAGAGATTATCCTAACCAATTCTTACTATTTAGAAAAGGAAATGCAGGCTAGTTTGCCCAGCGGATTCACGCAGTGAATTCATGAAAGTATTACCTATGGAATTAAAGTAAATGTAGAGTGTTCTGATTTAGTATTCAGTGTAAGTGTTCAAATGTAATACCTTTTCCTATGGTCTTTAAGAATATCTTTAAAATCTTATTTTTAACCTGAGTAGTTATCATACACGAAATAGTGCAGCCTAGACACAGGCCAGTTAGGAATTTGAGAAGTCAGGGGTAAGGAAGTTGGGTTCATGTGCCACACACATAAGGTGTTTTTTGACTGGAAAATTGGATTTTAACAGTTTACTTAGGATAAGATATTTTTCTTCTGTTGGTTGATTTAGGGACAGTTATGTCATGAAGGACCCAGGTTCTGTCCCTCTCGGTTTGGCCTCACACAGCATCAGCTTCATCTTAGTCCTGAAGCTGGCGCTCTTCGCAGGCGAGAAGGCCAGTAGCAGTCTGGGTTTGTAGTCTCCCCTTGTAGGGCGGTTGGCAGGTCTCTCCCAGAAGCCTCCTCCAGTCTCACTGTCCCAGACAACTACAGGGCATGGGATCATGATGATTTGTTAAGGCTTGAGCCACCTGTCACACCAGGAAGAAATTAGTTCTGTTCAGATACTTTGCTCATTTTAAAATTGGCTTGTCTTTTTATTGAGTTGTGGTAATTCTTTATATATCCTGGGAACAAATCCCTTATCAGGTAGATGATTTGTAATGATTCTTGTTGCAAAATTATATTTCCTGTGAGTGATTTAATAGTTGGCAAAATGTTCTTCCTAAATTACCAGTTTTAGGACAAGGCCTTTTTCTGAGATTGCCTTGGATTGAAATAGTGGGATTGGGATGGAGAAAAAAAAGACTATGTTTTCCTTGCCTTAAGTGTAAGTCACTGCCTCTCTAGGGACTTGCTTTGACACCTTTGTTGTGAAAAGCAAAGAAACAACTTAAATCTTCACTGGATCATTGTACGCTGAGTATAATGTGCAGTGAGGCACAGAAAGCTCTGCACTCTCTACACACATCCACATCCACAAGTTAAATCCTATAAATTATAATAAACTCTAGGAAATTGTCCATATTTTCACGTATCAGAAATTTGTGGGTTTTGAATATCATACCAGTTTGAGACTTGAAAATCTTTTTGGTGTTTGCTATATAAGTTGTGACCAATAAATTCTACAAATACTACAGATTGCCAAATAAAGCACCATCTAACTGTGAAGATGCCACAGACGGCAGGTTTAATTATTTGACATCCTTGGGTCAGCGTCAAATACTGGTAGATACTTTACATTATTTAGAAGTTATAAAAGCCTGTATAATTCCAGTATTGAAACGAAAGCCTACATTGACTTTGGAAACTTTATTGTGTTTGGATAAATTGTCAAAATGACTTTTCCCTTGACAGGGTGACTTTACAAGGACAGGAGAAAGGAAGTTAGCAGGAGTTATGAAAGATGGAGTTAACTCAGCAAATAGGTATTACCTGAATCGATTTAAGGATGCTTATAGGCAGGCTGTTATAGGTAAGAATCATAAATGTCTTTCTTTAAAGTGTGTTATTCCTTCTGTGACTAACATTTTATAGAAACCAATTTCATTAAGGGAGTTTGTGTTTTATAATATATTTGTGTTTCTGTATTGAGCATCTTACCCATTAAATCAAATTCAAAGTTTTCAAGATTAGAATTTGACAGATTTTTTAAGGCCAGAGCAACAAAAGAAACCACTCATTTCCATATGTTCGTCAGCTTACTATTCATGTAACAGAAGACAGGGTTGAAGCTTCTGAAGTATGGAATAAGGTAAAACCTCATCAACTAGAAGTCCCACATTCTATTTGTTTTTCCATTGCTCAGGACTGCAAGATGTTTAACAAGATGATTTTCTTTCCCCATATGACATTTTTCATAAGTTCTTGCTGTGTACAAACACATAATCCTTTCCTATAAGCATGAATTAACTTGATACAGGGTATCAGATTTAGAGATTATCCTAACCAATTCTTACTATTTAGAAAAGGAAATGCAGGCTAGTTTGCCCAGCGGATTCACTCAGTGAATTCATGAAAGTATTACCTATGGAATTAAAGTAAATGTAGAGTGTTCTGATTTAGTATTCAGTGTAAGTGTTCAAATGTAATACCTTTTCCTATGGTCTTTAAGAATATCTTTAAAATCTTATTTTTAACCTGAGTAGTTATCATACACGAAATAGTGCAGCCTAGACACAGGCCAGTTATGAATTTGAGAAGTCAGGGGTAAGGAAGTTGGGTTCATGTGCCACACACATAAGGTGTTTTTTGACTGGAAAATTGGATTTTAACAGTTTACTTAGGATAAGATATTTTTCTTCTGTTGGTTGATTTAGGGACAGTTATGTCATGAAGGACCCAGGTTCTGTCCCTCTCGGTTTGGCCTCACACAGCATCAGCTTCATCTTAGTCCTGAAGCTGGCGCTCTTCGCAGGCGAGAAGGCCAGTAGCAGTCTGGGTTTGTAGTCTCCCCTTGTAGGGCGGTTGGCAGGTCTCTCCCAGAAGCCTCCTCCAGTCTCACTGTCCCAGACAACTACAGGGCGTGGGATCATGATGATTTGTTAAGGCTTGAGCCACCTGTCACACCAGGAAGAAATTAGTTCTGTTCAGATACTTTGCTCATTTTAAAATTGGCTTGTCTTTTTATTGAGTTGTGGTAATTCTTTATATATCCTGGGAACAAATCCCTTATCAGGTAGATGATTTGTAAATATTCCCTTCCATTCTGTGGGTTGTCTTGTTCACTTTTGTGATATTGCCCTTTGAAGCACATACAAAAAATTAATTGGGTGCTGTCCAGTTTGTCTGTTTTTTTCTTTTAGTTGCTTGTAATTTTTGTGTCATATCTTAACAAATATGCCTAATCCAAGGCCACAAGATTTATACCTGTGTTTCCTTAAGAGTGCTCTTGTTTTAGGTCTTATATTCTCTTTTGTTTAGAAATGTGTTAGTAAGCTAAGATGATGATAGATATTAATAATTTCTACTCTAGATTTGATGCAAGGCATCCCAGTGACAGAAGATCTGTATTCCATATTTACCAAGGAGAAGGAGCACGAAGCTCTGCATAAGGAAAATCAGAGAAGCCACCAGGAACTAATCAGCCAGCTTTTACAAAGTTACATGAAGTTACTGCTGCCTGATAATGAGAAGTTCCATGGGGGCTGGGCCCTCATTGACTGTGACCCCAGGTAAGCTGGAGTGGTGTCCTGGTAACGATGTGCTTAACTTTCTCCTGTTGCCCTTGTGATGAATGCTAGTAGTTGTCCATAAAGCTGTGGGCAGGATGTGTATTGCGTGGCAGTTTTCAGATACAGGGCTGCTTCTAAGGCAAGCTGACTCAGGTATTCATCTTGGGTGCAAAATCGAGGAGGCACTAAAAACTCGGTAATAAATATTTTAATGCAGTATTTGATTTGAAAAAAAATGTAGAACTGTCGTTCACAGCTGACTGTGTGTTCTCCCTACAGAATCTGGGTTTATCCTATTAACACACGTAAGTGAGCACAGTGAGAGGTGCAGAGATGCTAGTTACTCTGACAGGTTGTGAAGTGGTCCTGGTCTTTTATAAAAAGAATAGGCCAACTAATATAAAAATCATCCAGTGTCAAGTGGTTCTTCATAATGCACAACAGGATCTATATCCATCTGATTGAACACGTGCTTTTAGGCCAACATCTAAAATGATCTTCAATATTATGAATGAGAAACATTTCAGGAAATTCTAGACAAACCTCTGAGTATAAAAGGTTCTGTTTGGATTTTTATCTCATTTTACATTTCATGTATTTTTAATAAAGGCATATAACAAGCTTGAAAGAACGAGTTAATGCAAGGTAGCATTTACATACATTAAAATGAAATAAAAAACAATATTGACTGCAGGTTCATAGGGAAACCTATGACTTTAATTTCATGGATTATTTTGCTTTGTTAGTACTGAATGTATGGATGTGAATTGCAGACTCTTAAAATTTAAGAGATGAGGCTTTTCTTGCAATTTAGCAGAAAATTTCTGTGCTCTTATAAGCCATTTGGTAAAATACCGTAGGTTTTTTAAAAATAGCAGCAGCTCAACTTAATGCAGCACCAAAAAAGGTAATACTTTTAATTCCCATTCATAGATAACTGCAGGCAGTACACCTGCATTTTGCTTGAGTTTTAACTTTGCACTTAAATTATTAAGAGTGTCATCTTCCTTAGATCAAGTATTTTTATTTCTACTTTAGAGGTAACTGAATAGGGAATGACCAAAAGGCTTAGTTCTAAAGCTGATAACCATTATGTAAGGTCACATTACATCTGATTTGATTTACAGTTCTATAATTCTTGTGTGAAGTTGGTGTTCTGGGTTAGGAATTTGAGAAAAATGTAGTGTGTATTTATGTATGCTGTTTAAAGCTTGCAACAAAATTTAGGCAAGCACACTTGTTAAGAGTCAGAAGTTTCTTGCACTTAAGAAAAAGATAAATGAAAACACTCAGACTTCTGGCAACTGGACTTACTGGGACAACATAGATTGCTGGTACTATATTGTACCAAAATACTGCTGAAACAAGACTAGTCTTCTAGGACCCGGTCTTTAAGAAATCCTTGTTGGGTAGTTAGATTCCCAAATTGAGATTCCCAAATTCCCAGCTTCCAAGTGCCTATTTCAGAAATATAGTTGTGCTTCAGTTTTCTCTTTTCCTCATTAACATGATGAAATACTTCTCTTTCTTCTTGATTTTTTGACTTCTACCCCTCTGTAGTGCCCAGCAATTGCACTCCTCATTTTTCTTTAATTCTGCACTATAAAGTTTGGCTTTCTGATACCAGGGAGTCAGTGATTGTCTTCTCTTCTCTTCTCTTGTTAAAGCTCCTGATGAAGAATAGCTTACATCATCAGTAACATATGCCAGACAGCATCTTCCCTTTGCTCACTGGGCCCTTTTGGGTTATACAGATGAGGGGCATATTGCAAAAAAGCAGAGCCCATTCTTCCTTTACTGCAAGTTAAACTTTCAAATTCAAGTGCATTATGAGGTTTTCAGTAAGTGGTGCTTCCCATTAAGATTATCAGTGTCTGTTTCCAAATAGTCTCACATTTCCTGATGGGTGATGACACCTTTTTTTGCTTCCATTTCTGTGCTATTAAGTGCGTTCTGTACCTATTACTGCCTTGTCTATATGTCTTAACCTGGCCCAGCATTTGTGTGTCTAGTGGTCATGGCTTGTGGGCTGTTTGTTACAGAACCCTTTTGGACAGTCTGTCAGCTGAGCCAGGGAGATGGACCCAGAGAGGGCGGTCCCTAATGGAGGACAGCCAGAAGTTGTTTGGGAATGGCCGTGGGGCTCAGACCTCCAGCCAGCCAGCCAGCGGTAGGTGTGGCACCATCAACAGTCCACACCTGCCTGCCTCCGCCATGTACTCCTGTGCTGTGTATGTGGTTTTTTTTTTGAACCTTTGAGATGAAATCCATATACAATTCAGTGGTTTTTAGAATATTCAGAGTTGTGAGGCCATAACCACAGTCAATTTTAGAACATTTTTATTACCACAAAAAGAAGCCTCAGACTCTTTAGCTGTCACTCCCCTATCCACCAACACCCCCAGTGTTAAGCAACTGCTACTTTGTGTTTCTCTAGATTTGCCTCTTCTGGAAATTGCCTATCAGTGGAATCGTATGTGGCCTTTTGTGACTGGTTTCATTCACTTAGCATAATATTTTCATGGTTCATGCACATTGTGCATATATCAGAACTTCATTCTTTTTTGTAGCTGAGTAATATTTCATTGTGTGGATATACCACATTTTGTTTATCCATCTGTTGATGGGCATTTAAGTTGTTTATGGGTATTCTGGGCATTGTAAATACTTATGGTGTGAATACTTGTGTGCACGTTTTTGTTTGGACATCTGTTTTTCTTTTTGGGTATATGCCTAGGAGTAGAAATTGCTGGATCATGCATAATGCTATGTTTAACTTTTGAGAAAGTACCATTTTACATTCCCACCAGCCATGTATGAGGGTTCCAATTTTTCCATGTCTTCACCAACACTTATTTTCTGTTTTTAAAATTGTAGTCATGCTAGTGGGTGTGAAGTGGTATGTCACTGTGGTTTTGATTTGTGTTTTCCTAGTGACAGTGTTGAGGATTTGTGTGTGTATGAGGTTGTTGGCCATTCATGTATTTTCCTTAGAAAAATGTCTTCAAATCTTCTACCCATTTTTAGAAATTGGTCTGTGTGTCATTGTTGTTACACATTTTTGTAAATAAAGCTTTTCAGGGCCCACAAGTGGATAGAGCTGCTAAGTGGGATAGGGTTGTACAAGTGCAGGAGCGAATCCTGTCCTTACTTCAAGTGTTACATTTTGTTCATCATATTTTTGCATCAATTTTGATTTTTTAAAAAATATTGCACCAAATTATCTCCATAGCTGAGTTTTTTGGTACCCCCCTAAGTTTTGTGTTGGAGACCAGTCAGTGCCTGCCTCACCTCACTGCAGTCCCAAGCCTGTTGAAGTATCTGGCAGAAAAGCAGTTAAAGCGAGCAGTTTACAAACACGCAGGCCTACACAGGGCAGCAAGAATGCCTGGTTCCTTCCCTGGGCCTCCCAAAGGCCCAGCTGGAACTGTCCAGCGCGGCTCTGGCTGGAGTGCCGTGTCCCCGCGTGGCGTGCACTCGGTGGCTGCCCTCTTTCTGTTCAGACGCGAGCACGTCTCCTTCCGGGTGTCCTCGCCTGCAGCCAGCCACCGGCGCCCACAGGCCGGACGTCTCCGGCTCTGTTGAGTCCTCCCCAGTCTCTCCCTTGCAGCCGCCTTGCCGCGGGAAAAGCTGGCTTGAATGACAGTGATCAGCCTCTGCTGCGGCACCGCGGCTGGAAGAGGAGCCTCAGATCAAAGGAGTCGGACGTACTGTCCTGGTGCGCCTCAGCATCTCCGCAAAGCTCACTGTTTTGTCCAACTCTGTATTTAACCCACTTTTCTACACCGGGAATAGATGACCACTTCTCTCTGCATCGTAGTTTAGTGAGTGTTTTACAGCCGTGTTGTTAGGCATGTCATAGTGCAGGGGACCTGTTTGTCTCGGTGCTGCAGCCGCCCACCCGTGTGCCCTCGAGCAGTAGGGAGCATCCCTCAGGAAGGGGCATGCGCGCTCCCTGGAACCAGCGGGCCGCCCCCCCGCCCTACTCCCCTGCGGAGGCTCGGCACGCATGCGCACTTGGCAAGTGCCGCGGCAGCGTGGGCGGCCTGCCGCGTTGCGAGCGGCGCGGGGCTTGGTGCGGCTGCGCTGCAGTCGCTGCAGTGAGCAGTGAGCGCGGGCTTGGGTGCAAGTGGCGCTGACTGGCTGCCACTCCTAGACGGACGACAGACGGACGGACTGACAATGCCGCGCTCCCACAGGCCCCCGCCGTCGGCCCAGCGGCCCGCCAACGCCACGGGCAATGCCGCGGGCAGCACCGCCGAGCCCAAGCCTGAGGGTGGCAGCCTGGCCACGACTTTCAAGATTTTTCTCCTTTTTGCAGGACTTATGGTTAAAGTTCCTGTGGGGTTGTATTTTTCGTGTAAACTACTCCTTTTCCAGAGTCTCCTGTTAATGTCGCCTGACGACAGTGGCTTTTACGCGACGATCGTCGCAGTGGTGGGGCTGCACGTGGTGCTGGCCGTGTTTGTCTTCATCGTGTGGAAGGAGGGCTTGCCTGACTGGCAGGAGACCAAGGACGAGTAGGGCGGCCTCCCCAGAGCTGCCGCGGGCCGGGCGCACCGGGGTCCTCCTCTTCCTGTGGTGGTGAAAACGCGCCTCCTTTTTGTTGGCGGGCGGGGAGGGCCGCCAAGTCCGGGGCAGCCGAGGCTTCAGCACCGGCGCGGGAGGGGTTGAGGGGGGCATTTTGCGGACCGCCTGTTCCATGCCAAGTGCTTTTTCCTTTCGGACATAACGTTTGTGACTGAGGATCACGTTTGATGTAAATATCGATGCCAAAATATGAAGCTCGGTTGAAGTAACACTAATCAGTAGGAGTAGAATTTACTTCATAGTAGTCTGTGTGTCGTGACGTGATTTTTGTGGCTCGGCTCAAGTGACAGTTTTCAGTGCACGTAAGTATTGCCGTGCAAAGCCACCTGCCAGTTCCCGGTGTTGTTCCGTGTCGGCCCCCGTGACGCTGCCGGCTTCGTTGAATTTCTGGTTTTCTTTTCCCTGTTGATTGATTGGTCCGTACTCATCTATGTGTTGTCGGGTCTCGGCATCTTAGCATTCGTTGTATTTTTTGGTATATTACTTGAGGTGACAACTGAGGCGAATTTGTTATTTGAAATTACGACCGTCAGTCAAGTCGCAGCAAGGTGCCGCTGATGTAAAATGCCGCAGTTTCATTTTGGTAAAATATTCTCTGCAAGTACGCGTTAAATAATGACATCATTCTGACGCAGATGGTACCTGACTTAAATTCCTTCTACAAGTGGTTTCCCCCCACTGCTTTCTTTCCATTTGTTTTTCGGTAGCATTTTAATAAGTCTTGGCAAATAGGTCTGAATTCCTCATACAGTGGAATTTCGAGACCAATTATAAGAACGTAGGCTGATTTTCACCTTTTCATTGGAAAGGCTGTTACTCATGTTGGATGGATATTAGATTTGAGTTTTATTTGAATTCACATTCTGCCTGTGCTATCTGTTGATTAGTAATCTTAGAAAGATATATATTTTACTGTAGTTTTTGGTTTAATAGCTCAAAACTACTGGTTTAGTTTCTAACCCTTATTCTGATAGTTTTAGAGTAGAGGTAAAATATGGCAAAACGTACTTAGAATAAGGAAATGCTTACTTGTTCCTTAAAAGTCAAGTAAATTAACCTATAGTAAGAAAAATGTAAAGTAGCTTGGGGCTTGGTTCCAATTTTGCACATAAATGTTAACATTTATATAAAATTCTTTCAAAGGATGCTTTCCATATGAACGTAAAAATGTCTGAATATGCAATGTCATTTTGAAGATTTAGTTATGATATAATTAGAGAATATCTCCATTTTCAGCCTCACATTTTCTTTTTTTTCCAGCCCCCACCAGTCCCCTCCCTACCTCCCCACCTCCCCTCCCTGCACCCCCAGAGTTACCCATTTCCCCTGAGTCCTCCCCTCCTGGGTCACCTCTCTGAGAAGGGACTGCTCCTCACCTGCAGCCCCTCCCTCCACCTACCCACCCCCTTCCCTGAGTTCCTTTTTTTTTTTTTAATTGCTAAATGGATAGATTGTATACATTTCACTTAATCTTATTTTATTTCTCCTCCCATCCCAGCCAGTCTTTTATCGTAAGTGGCTGTACTGTAGAAATAAGCTTGGCAAAAATGCAGATGCAAATGAAATTATTTAATTCCCTCTTGTCATACCTGTTTAGCCTCATTGATGCTACTCACAGAGATGTGGATGTGCTCTTACTGCTTTCTAACTCTGCCTACTACGTGGCCTAGTAAGTTGCTTATTGATTTAAAGCTTTTAATTTTAAGTTTGAGTAAATTTCCTTTTTAGAATTCATAACACAAAAAGCTTAAGAATCTGGCTTTATTATATATTTTAAGAAACTTTATTAAACCCCTTATACACTTACTTAATGGTTACATCATTGACTTCCTTTTATCAATATGAAAATGTAATTTGAGTTATAATCAGTGTGTTTATATGATACTGTTAGCATTTAGTGGTAGTTCCTATGTATATCTCCCACGTTTTCAGGTGCTCCATTTGTTTTTACTGTTATTGACCATATATCCGTATTTATATTACTGTGCCATAGTTATATGTCCCCCTTATTAGGCATTGAAATACTTAGATATTTTTGTTATTATGAATGATACAGCTGTCTCTGTGTAGATAATCGTGTGTACATGTGCAAGCACTTCTCTTTTGTTGTAGGGTATGATGAATTATATGGCTTTTGTGGTTTATTGCCACCTTTCTAGGAAGACTACCAATAAACAATGCTGCTGGCAGAAATACAAGTACTTCTCATAGCCTTACCAGAACTGAGAGGTTTTTTTTCCTAAGTAAATATGCACTTTCTTTTTGGCCTTGGTTGAAGAATCATTTTTTAGTCTTTGGCGCAGGTGCCCATTGGTACTGATCATATAGATTTTTCATTATTGGTCTTAAATATCAAGATTTTTCTGCTGTGTTACATAGCTTCACAAATACATAGCTTCAGTGTGTGTGTATGTGTTTTCATTTAAGGTTTGTTTTTATTTCACAAAAGTTTTTATAAATCTGATTTTTGCTTTGTAATTTATTTTAGTGTGAGATCTATAAACTGATTTTCCTTTTCTATTGAACTATGTATGTGATGTTTCATCTAGTTTTCAAAATATTTATGTTTAACTCTACCCCAGAATGTATTGTGCCATGGAAGATTTTTAGCTGTGTAGTAGATGGTACTATTATATCTAATCTAGAAATATACTTTTTATTTTAATCCTGTTTTTATCCCTTTATCTAGTTATGATGATGAAGTTGATAAAGTAAACCAATATCAACGACTAAGTCTAGAAGACCTGGAAAAAATAGAAATAGGTAAATTTTAACATACTAACCAAATCATAGAAAGCAAGTTGTGGTCTTTTTCCTAGAGTGTATCAAATTATTATAACCAATATAACATTTTATTAGAACCACAAAGGGATATTCTTTTCTTAGGATTCTTCTATTTTTGAGAGATTGGTGATGGATATAGTCTAATAATAACTATTTCTTTTATTACCTTATGAAGATTAACCCAGGGAGTAACAAAGTGTAAATATTTGAGACTGAAGAATTTTTATTTATAGTCTCATCAAATGAAATTGTCATAAGCTTATATTTTATGTCCTTTTGTTTAGATTATGAAGAATGTGCTAAATACCTAATTGATAAATGTATGTTGGTCTTTTGAAGATACAGATGGAAGTGAATATTACAGGAAAAATTTACACATACTCATTTTGGTCTTTAGGTCCTGAACCCACTCTTTTTGGTAAGCCAAAGTTCTCATGCATGCGACTGCACTATAGATACAAAGAAGCAAGTGGCTATTTCCATACACTGAGAGCTGTGATGCGCAATCCAGAAGAGGATGGAAAAGGTAATGGAGAGAGATGAAAATATTCAGTGATGACTTCTTACCTGCTTTTTTTAAGTCCAAGGGGCATTGTGGACGGCACATACCATTTCTAACAAAATGATCCACGGACACAGCTTTGTGATTTGAGACCTTGAAGTAGATTTTGTTC